AGAGCAAAGAAAAGGCAGAGAGGAAATGGAGGACACCAAGTGGTTAAAAGAAAAACTACAGCTGAGCCAAGGCGCGCCTCGACCGGAGCGGAGAAACAAGTGTCTGGTCTGAACTGAGGAGCAGCGGCCAAATTTCGTGAGTGCTTCGCCTCCCGACGCTTTGCGGCACTTCGGCGGCCGGTGTATCCCCGAGGGTGCACTGCTGGAGCAAACCACTCCTCCGGTCTTAGTGTCAGCGAGGGCAGGGGTGAGGATGAGTCACGGAGGCTTAACGGTCGAAGCGGGAGACTTGACTCGGCCTTTCAGATATTACAATATCTCCAAACATAATCACGCAGGGAAACAGTTTTCATGAGGAACACACATCTCGAGACAATTCGCGCCATTTTTAAGGGGTTTGTTTTATACAGCGGTAGTTAGCTGAGTCGACCATCAATATACAAAATAAAAACATTTTATCTGACAGGAATTTGTTTTTTTTGTATCTCAATTGTTACCCGAACGTTAGCAGAGAGAGGACATAATTTGAGCTAGGGCAAGGATCAGAGTGACAACACTAGCTAAAATGCTAATGTAAGACTAAGCAAACCACACATGGCTCTTAAAATTAAACTTACCTCTGAATCGCTGAGCTTCTGCTTCGGTAACATCTATGCCACACTCCTCTATTTTTTTAAGAGTTCCTCCTTCGACAGTGTAGAAAGGACATCAAAAGTTGTGAGCTCATAATCTGTCTCTGGTTATTGAACCCCAACGATGGCGATTTTCCAATTTCCACAGATTACAGAAGTCTCCAGAATCAACTCCACCTCGACAGCCAATCATTTATTGATTGGCACATCCCCTGACCAAGATGAAGCCAATAGATGCAGCCGGGAACAATACCCTTTTTTTTCTTCAGAATCAGAAACAACTTTGACTTCATAGCAAAACCTGACCTGAGTTAATCGTGTACTCAGAACACTAGAGTAACTTTAGCAAGTTAACCAATATTTACTGTATGCTTACAAAACACAATTGAGCCACACATTCTTTAGTTAAAATAATTTACACAGTCAGTTAATACATTTCACTCCATTTTTAGATTTTAATAAAATAATTAATAAAATAATACATACTTTTGTAAAGATTTTTCAATGGTGAACACTGAAACTATTAAATCAATTTTGAGACAAATAGGTTTGCTAGTAGCTGTTTTTTAGTCGAAAGAGGTCATAACCTGAAATTGTACTCTCTGAAATAATTGGTACAAATGTGTACTTTTTAACCATAAGAAACAATTAAGTACCTTTCAGATCACGAAAAAGGTACAGATCTCTGAGGTCCAATATTTGTCCTTAGACTGGGTTAATGCCATTTTTGTACCTTGGGGTACAACAATGTCCCCTTTCCGTACCTCTATTTTTGACTGTATATCCTAAAAATTCAAATGATGACAACTTCAAATATTGTATGATGCCAGACTAAGTCCTAATCTGAAAAACAATATTTCACTCTGTGCAGCTGAGCTCAGTCCACATTTAAAACTGATTTTGACAGCTAGTACACGTGAAACTGACACGCTGATCCAAGTGTTTATCTTCAAAGCATTGCAATGAGCCCCTGCTGCAGCTCCTGCATCTGATGATTCATTCTCAAACCGAAACTCTATGACAGACAACGTTATGCTGCTTGTTATCAATCCAGCTGTGTTAAAAGGTAGATTCTACTACAATAACACACGTCAAAGTCTCATTTAGAGGAAAGGCCGGACACATTTAGATCAAAGAATGTTAGTAGCTTTACCAAAGCCACTTCTGTGTGTGTGTGGTTTATTTTTGTTGTTGTTGTTGTTATAATGCATCTGTTCAGAAGCTGTCAGTGTTCCCATTTGATCTGATTAGCTTGTTGGCAGCACAGATCAAAGAAAAGCCTCATTTGCAAACTATTACTTTGGCTTTGAACTTAAGAATCAGAGAGTAGAATAATTTGGCAGACAGGGACAAGCTGTGGATTCTGAATTTGTCGGAGGCTTTTATTACCACATTTCAGTTGACACAGACAGAAATAAAAGCCCAAGTAAATTGCTCACCAACTTGTGATTTTCTTTTGGCTTATGGTATGTAGAGATGTAAAAAAATGCTATATAGATGCTGTCTGACATCATTAATAAAAATGCTGCAAAGCATAATTAATATTAGGATCTTTAATTTTTGCGTAAACACACACATTCCCCCCTACACGCACCACCCACTCCTCCTCATCGGTTCCTGTCAAGTCTGCGAGTGCAGAAGACTGCAGGGCTCAGGATTACTTTAATGCATTACCAATGTCAAACAAGATTCCGATTAAACAAACCGTTCAAAGAGAACATCTACATCTCACATCCCAGTCTGACAGCTTTGATTCATAACTCGAGGTAGACACTTCGTTCCTCCGTTAGATGGTTTTTGAAGCCATGCCAAGGTTAAACCCGTAGAAGTGAAAATGTGACGCCAGCACTTTAATGTCATAAATAGATCATATTTCCTTTGAAGGATCATGAATAAGCACTTTATGTCTGGCGTTGTTCAATTCCTACCTGCTCAGGTCTGGAGGGAAAAAGCCATTTTGATTTATTTTTTCTTCAGTTTAGAAAAGAGGTGCCTCTGACTATCTCACAGTTGTTTATATTTGTTTGTTTTATTCGCACAGCATTTGGTTGTAGATGACAGCTCTTTCCTGTAAATTTTCTTTTGAAGATCCAACAGAATTAGACAAAAAATGTTTTCCTCAATAATAGACTTTAATTTGAACCCCTACTTCAACCCCCATTCGAGCTGTTTCCACCATCTGAACATCTGGGTAATTTTATCAGACTTTTGTGGCATTGCACTTGTCTCCACTTCACCAGGTTGGCCAAAAAAAAAACGTTTTGCTAGCCATTCCAGGAACAAATTGAGAACCTGAACTGGGCTATGTGCTCGGAAATGACCCGGTAGAGTGGGAGTGTTGCTGGTTAAGCAGAATAGAAAAAAAGAAAAGTAGCTTTAAGAATTACAGTTTCTTATCTCTCAATGCCTAACTATGCAACAGAATCCTCCCACAATGCCGTATTTCACAACGCTTTGTTGTCTCGAAAAACACCATAAAACATGGCGCTTGCCACATTTCAAATCACACAGCCGCTCTACTGGTCCTCCGAATGGATTTAATTACAGCATACTTCGACAGAATACACATTTTTGTGATATTAATGTCTGTGGACTCTTTTTGGCACTGATCAGTGACATTATTCACCGCCGAAGCAGAAGCGAAATGCAGAAATCTTTGCAAAGTCCTCAAAAAGTATGTGTGGAGGACCAAGCCATTGTATCTGCTAGTCAATTTTCCCCTTCCTAGAAATTTCCCAGAACTCCTTTAGTGGAAACACGGCTAACAGTAGCAACATAGTTTATATATTAGAATGAATAAGTAATCCTGTACTATTTAGCTATTTTTATTCAATTCTGACCAGTCATTCAGCCATCACTAACACCAAACTGATACTTTTATAACCTGACTTTATCAATACTTGTTGGTATTGTTTCGACCAACTTGGTCAACTTAAATGTAATCTCTCACACACACACACACACACACACACACACACACACACACACACACACACACACACACACACACACACACACACACACACACACACACACACACTTTTTTCATGATTCTTCTTACTTAGAACATCACTACCATATAATTAAAAAATCCACCCTTTTAAATGCAAATAGCTTTTTTTTATAGGTAATCTATTTTTGGAGCAAAATAAATGTCTAAATAATTATAGAGTTTGCTGGTAATAGGATTAGGATTGAAATAATGGGAATGTATAACCATTGTGAATATATTTTTAGAGATGTATTTAGACTATATTACTAGTCAAATAAAAAGGAGAGCTTTCTGTGTTTTGGGGGGTGATTGCTGCAAAAACAATACTGCTAAGCTGCTTCTGTTTTGCACATTCTGCTTCTACAAATGTTTTTGACAAATGGTTTGGACGTAGTTTTAGACTTAGACATTTGGAGTTGAGTTTTCTGCAGGTGGCCATGATTCCTTCTTTTTTCCATTTGCAGCTCAGACTACCGCAGTCACTTCCCTCTCCATTCATTACTAATCAACCACAAATGTGAAACCTATTACTCTCTGTGATATTAAATCCTTTGAGTGCTTATGTAGGTGGAAGCAATCAGTATGAGCAGAACAACAGACATAGCCTAAATAAACATGTTTTTCTTATTACACATGGTAGTTCATCACAGCTAGACTGAACTGCTCTTGCTCCTTTTTCCTTTGCTGATTGTCCTTGTTCAGAGTTAAACTTCTCACTTGGTTAAATGTTTTAAACCAGGCTGGGGGTGCAGGAAATAAAATGGTAATTACAACAGCTGCAAGTTTCCAAACTGGGTCTTGTGTTGCTAGGATTTGAAATGTCTTCAAAAATCCTGAGAGACAGATTTTGTCTAAATAGTCAAAGTCAAAACAGACATTGGGAAGTCTTCATGGATTTGTTTCTGTGAGTCAGAAAGTGCAAGAAATGTGACTTTTGGGTGGGTCGATTACCAAGTTTCAAATAAACTGATCAAACATTTCAAGAATGTCCCAATTCATAATGATGTCCTGCACCCTACGTGTGACCCAGCCATTTAACCTTCTTGCTGTTGAATGTACAATTGCATTATGTAAATTTCACTTTTTTTTTTACTTGTGGCAAACTGTTATAGCCTGGTTAAACTAAGCCAAGGGGAGGTAACGGTCTTAGAGAGTCGCAGTCCTGATAGCTTTCCAACTGTCTTTGTTGTTCCTGCTGTTGATTACTTGGATCAGGTGTGTTCAGCCAATTAGAAGCTGCAAGTTCATGCATAGCTGGAAAACATGCAGAACATCAGCTCTCTAGAACCAAGGTTGCTTACCCCTAAATTAGGCTGTGTTATTTGAAAACTTTCTATCTTAAATAATGTTGTTTCATCTTTTCTGCACCATCACAGTGACAGCATACCAAGGCAGATGGCTCTGATCTGCTTCCTGTCTTTGGTCATGCTGATGAGCGTCCTGGGAAACCTGCTGGTCATGGTGGCCGTCTGCAAGGACAGACAACTAAGGTGAGTGTTAAATGTGTACAGTTTACTTTAGACACAAAGTTTCTAACCAGGGTAAGGGTTAAAGGTTTAGGGGGTTTAACTCTAAACGTTAAATAGCTCCAAAAGAATATGAGATGAAAAGGATGCACAATAAGACATTTCAGAATGAGGAAGCCAGAGTAAAAAAGAAAAACCATCTCTTTCTATTTCCATCTATCAAACTACCACTCCCCCCAGTGAACACAAACCCCAACCAAGCTCATTTGAGAGAAAAAAAAAAGTATGGATTTTAGACTGAATGAGAACGGACTTCGCAGAGGGACTCCAAACTATATCATCTGAGTGAAAACTCAGATGATAAACACAAGATGTGCACCTAAAGTGATGCTGACAGGCTTGGAGTCGGCCCTCTGTCTTGCTGTCGGTGGCTCACATGGGATCCACTGTCTCTGCAATCTCAGATTTTTCATCTCTCCCACTTTTCCTGTCCTCCTCTGCTGTTTCTTCAGCTCTTGTGTCATTGCTCTTCTCTTTCTTTCACACTGTTTGTCTGATAGCTGGTCTCTTCCGGCCCTTGTCTCTTTTCATCTCATGACACCTGAAAGCTCAGAGTGGCCTCTCGTCCTATTGACGTGAGGATGTCTGTGTGTGTTTGAGAGAGCCAGGGTTGGCTAAACGTTTTAATTGCAGCTCTGTGTAACCCTGGATGCAGTTGGATAACTTAAGATCAGGAATGTTTAGACAGACCAGCAGCTAGGCTCGGCAGGATTACAATAGGAACCAAGGTAGGTGCAAAAGGAAACGGCAGGAGGCAGGAAATGAGCAAAAATAGAAAATATTTAGTTAGAAAAAATGTGAAACGAGAATACAATTTTAACAATACAACACTCAGATTAACAACTCTGAGCCGGCCCAGAAAAATAAACAAAATAAAAACCCCAGTCTTATTTTGGACTCAATAGTTGAGTTGTCCTTTCAGTCGTTAGGCAAGTCAAAGCGTCTTTCAGTTTCAGTTCTCTGGTTTAGTGGTTTGAGTTGTTACCACTTGGCATTCACATTCAGTGAGAAGAGTGATGGGTCTTCAATCGAAGTGTCTTAGGGTTCGGGGCAAAGGCTCGCCATCTCCATCCGGAGAGAATCCTGGAATCCGATCTAGTTCTTGATCGGCGAGGATAAAAACTTAGCCAAGATGAGGTATCAATATGGACGCAGTAGTGGACTCTGTCACATGGCTGCTCCAGCTCGTGCTCTCATCACAAGATGAAACATTAAATCCAGAACAGCTTGTGTACAACTGGTCTCGTTCATGTCCAAGTGCAAAAAGACCGTTTAACAGGAAACAAAGTGGGAAGAACCACACCTGACTTCCTCATTTCAACTTAAACGTCTTTTCAAAATAAAAGCACAAATAAAATTTCGTACCGGTAAAAGAAGAGAAAAAGGACGTTTTCTCTGCTGGGTTACATCTGTCAGCTTCAAGCTGTAACCCCATCAGATAATGATTTAATCCCCCCCCCCCCCCCCCCCCCCCAAAAAAAAAGGAACTCTTTGAAAAACATTCATCTGTCAATTAGAAAAAATTATTATGCTGCACACATTATCCATTCCACATAAAAAGGAAGCCACTCAAAAATCAAAATGAACTTACAGAGGTTTGGAGTCACTGAGAAATTCAAACCGAACAAGAAACAGCTGATGTGGCAGGCTAGTCCAGTTTGCTGGAGTGAGCAGCAACTCAAATGAAACTAAGTAGTTTGAGTTGGTCCAAGGATCTCATCCTATTACCAAAGTCAGGGTTTCCATCATCTTTCATGTGCAATTCCATGTGTCCCTCCATGGATTTGTCTCCACAGACGAACACTGACCCATCACCAAACTAATCATGCTGAACAGGGTTGCAGGCAGCGTAACGTTCAGCGTAGCTTCTCCAGACCCTTTTACGTCTGTCACATTGGCTCAGAGTGAACCTGCTCTCAACTGTAAAAAGCACATGGCAACAGCACATGTTGGACCTGCCAATTCTGGTGTTCTCTGGCAAATGCTGGGCAAGTGATGAGCAATGAGCACAGGGCCCACTAGGACCACTGGCTCTCATGCCACTCTCACAAAGTCTCTAATGCAGGGGTCCTCCATTATAATGGCCCGAGGAGCGGGGGTGGGGATGGGGGTGGGGGCTGCTGCTGCTGTTTGGATCACTGACAGTAATGCACATAACACCCAAGCTTGCAATATAAACAGGACAACACATGTCCCCCTCCAGCTTGGCTGTGTGACTGCACTAACCTGTCCTGTGGGACCCTCACCATGTAACCCTCATGTCCATGCTGTCTCTGGAAGAGCAGATAGGACACAAGATCTCCTGTAACTTAAAATGTACCAAAGCTTCCTCCCAGTTTCTCTTTAAGCTGAATTTAACACTAGTTTATCATCATGAAACAAAAGAATAAAGTGGAACAAGAACTTCTATCTTCTATTTCTCTCTCCTTTTAACTTCTCCGTGTCTCTAAATTTAAAGGGACAGATGATCACACAGCAACTGCCGTCACTGACCCCGCTCCCTCCCCAAGACCGGATCTCCCGACATCACAGCACTCGGTCTGACTGAGCGCTTCCAGGAGAAACAATAATGAACTTATGAAAATAATAATGCGTTTGGAGGAGCGTCCTCCAATCCTCTCTCTTGTGTGAGCAGACAATCTCTCTCTCTCTCTCTCTCTCTCTCTCTGTCGCGGATCGAGCGAGCGGCGCGCGCAGCATGACAACCCGCTCAATTAACATAAGTCACCGCCCAAATCCAACAGAACCGATTGGGTTTATTCAGTTCGGGTTCAGTTTCAGGTTACAACTCCAGCGCTCAGCCCTGCAGTACCACATGAAGGCAGGCCAAAGTTTCCTACCCGGCAAATGTGGAGAACACCCACTCTGACAGATCTGGATGCTGCGCTGGTGCCGCCGTTAAAACAATAAAACTATACATTCCACTATAATTGATTGTTACTCTTCTATGATGCAGAATCGTTTATGCTCACATCTCATGCATTGACTATTTGATTATTTTCCTCTGCTCTATTCTACACCTTCCGGTTGGCCGTCGGGGGTGGGGGTGGGAAGTGCGCTCGGGGTTTGGGGGCCACAAAGAGAGGGCTCGCGGGCCGTACGTGGCCTGCGGGCCGCCATTTGTGGACCACTGCTGTGACCGCTCTAATGGTTAGAGACATTCACACTAGTGGTCCACTGGAGATCACTTTGGAGTAGGGCTGCACGATATTAGGGAAACCTGCGATATTCGATAACAGTGCTTAATATTGCAATATCGATATTACTTGCGATAAATGAACAAATACTAAAGTATGCATTGTTGATGTCGTCTGGCGTGTGACGTCTGCTCTGGGTTCAAAGCAAACAAAAACTAATGCATGAATTCCATTACAACATAACATTTTTATTGCAAAAGTATGCACCTGTATTAGCAGCAAAACAACAAACTGCATGCATGCAGTTTCTCAGTGACTTTAAAACATCACCTCCACCATAAAACTTTTTCTGATGCTCCAAATACAGAAAAACATCCCTTACCAGGGTTTTTTGAATAAATAAAAATATCAGAAAATAAGTTTAAATGTTAAATAATAGTTAACATCACTTAAATGCAACAGCAAATTCTCTCATTGCTACTGAACATTTTCTCCACTTATGTGGTTATGATATAAGGCTGTTGCTGCTATTGGAAAGTGAACTGTGCTGGGCCAAACTAGGAGAACATTAAGATTTTCTGAGGGAAAGAGAAAAACAATTGTCTACCTTTCAGAAGAGGAACTGGCAAAAAAAAAAAAAAAAACTACATGGAAAATATGTGAAAACGTTTGTTTTTAACCCCAAATTGAACAAGTTTACCTAGATCTTAAAAAGCAGCTCAGATGATGAAACTGCAACTATGATTCTGATGACTAGCTAACAAATTGAACTAGCTCCTCTTAAGATAACCGGCTAGCAGAGCTTCTGACTGACAGTTTATGTGCAGCAGCAAATCAACTATCCTGATTAACAAGGTTATAAAAGCTCATAAATGAAAAATCACTTTGATGTGTGGGGGGACTTTTCCAGGCCATCTTTAGCAGGGTGGGACTGGGAGGAGAGTGCTGTAGCCTTTTAGCTGGAAGCTAACCGGAGCCTGGGGATAGCATCACCACCCGGTGGAACACTAGCGACACGAAGGTGGGTTGGTTCATCGGCACGTGTCAGAGTCAGCCCGGTAAAAATGATTACAGACACCGAGCGGACTCACGTTCACGTTTGAAAGCAGCGCTGAATCCAGAAACCTCAGCACAAAGTGCGTTGTTTCTCTGAGCCACAATGGCGAACAAGGGAACGGCACCGCTAACTCAGTTCGAGTGTTGCTTTCCATCCTAAGGGTCTACGGAGGGGGCGGGCGTATTACGTAAATGGACCCATCTGATTGGCCGCATATCAGAAGGGCTATACTTGATTGGTCAAATTCCGTGTAACAAACAGAGCTGGTTTACAAAAAGTTGATGAATGACACGGATGGAAATGTTTGAACCAAACATTTATCGCTGTTTTTGCCATGTTTTGCGGTGGGCCTATCACACGTCCTGTTATCCCGATGACAATAATTTTTCGATATATTGTGCAGCCCTACTTTGGAGGGTTTCTGGCAGCACTCAGTTCTTCCTTGCACAAAGTAGCAGATACTGGCCCTGCTGATGGGTTAAGTACCCCAAAAATCTCTGTCACTGCTGTTATGTAAGTGATCAGTATCTCAGAATTTTTATTTACTTTATATTTTACCATCACACTGACCTGCTTTTTTCATTTTTTCAACAGTGTATTCAAAGTCACTGAATGACAAAGTCACTGCTGTGGGATTTAACCTACCTCGGCAGTCAGCAACTCAATTTGACTCCTTTTTTTAATCTTTTTTTTTTTATCAAGCTCTTTAAAACTCCAATCATGGCATCAAAGTGTTGCCCAAAAAACCTGTTAGCAATAAACAAGAAACA